GTCCTAAAAACGCGAAAAACCCATTAGTTTGAAATTGCTACTGTTGCCTTGTTTTTCAGATATTGAGGGCTGTGGTTTGGATTGCAAAAACTCTTCTAAATACACAAGCAACGAGCACAATCAGATCCAAAAACTGATCTTGTATTGTGCCTTGCTGTGTATAATTTTACATGTTTTTGCAATCACAACGTTTGCGATCAACTGGAAAACGGCCAATCGATATCCGGCCAAAGGCATCTTCTATGTTAATGTATGTTTCGCCATTTCATACGGTGGATATTTGATGCAATTTCTAGGTAAGTTCCCGGAAAAAGTCCCACCATAACAATGACCAACATTGATTTTTCAGCTGCCGATACACGTGAAGATATTGTATGCAAAAAAGATGGCACGCTGAGAAAGTCGGAACCCAGTGCGACTGAAAACCTATCTTGCGTCATTGTGTTTTTCATCATTTATTATTTTTTAATCGCCGGCCTGGTTTGGTTCATGATCTTCGCCTATGCTTGGTACATGAGTTCGTTACAAGCTCTCGGTAAGTTGCAAGAACTCCTCTCGCAGCCAGATTCAAAGTCGTTTTTTCCAGCAAAAACTCAAAACAAAGTGAACAAGCGACGAGCGTATTTCCATTTGTTGGCCTGGAGTTTGCCGTTGATTTTAACGATAACCACAATGGCTATTGGTGAAATAGACGGCGATTACATCACTGGGATTTGTTTCGTCGGGTTCGAAAACATGATGGCTAGAGTAGGCTTGTTTGTGGCTCCCTTATGTGCCACTGTGCTGCTGTCCACGTATATTATAATCCGCGGTGAGAGCGCACTAAAACTCCACTGGCTTCATGTATTAAATTTCGTACAACCCTTTCAGGTGTGATTCTTCTCATCAAGCTAAAAATCGAAAGTCGCGAAGTCGTTTCTCAGCATTCCGCACAGAAAATCCAATCAAACATCATGCGGATGACTGTTTTCACAATTTTCATGCTGATGTTCTGCATTGTAACAATCGGATATCACGTACATATCTCGATGAACCGACAGTTATGGCATTTGAGCTTAGAAAACTACATTGTGTAAGACTATGCTGATTAAACCAGTTATTCCTGATTACTAACAGTAGTTTCCACAACCAACTAACATCGTAATTATGCATGACTTTGGGGCCTTTCAGGATTGTTCCATTCAGGAGGATTATTTACGGCACTAGCATGCGCTAAACTGAGGTATGCATCTTGATTTTTGGTAATGGCGAGGGTCCATTCGATCCACCTGTATTCATCAGCTAAATAAATTGTTTTTTTAGATGTAAACTCACGAGTTTTAGCACGGATTATCCGCATTGCAAACAGTTGGAACGGCCAAGCCTTGCAATGTTGCAACTGTATCTTCTTGCAGTGTTTGGGCAAGGGATTGCGATGGCATCGTGGGTATGGTGTGATGCCACTTTACATGCCTGGGGCAGATATATCAGAAAGTAAATAGCGATTCATAGACACCCAATACAAAAGTGAACGTTGCAATTTTTGCAGAAAGTTTCACTGCGAAGTAGAGACGCCGATGAAGATCCAAAAGCACAAAATCATATCGCGAGTGTTTGCCGGAAGGAAGAAATTTAACGAGGGCGGGCGCATTTCAATTTTTAGCGAAAATCACACCGATCCAGTGGGTTTGCAGTTCGAACTCAACAGTGGCGCGAGCAACGAGTTGAGTACTACGTGGGCGAAGAATTTACCCAGATTGGTCAATCGGCGACCAGCAATTCCCAACGATGTCGGAGAGGACAACAGCTACAGCCAATCCATCGAAAGCGACTACAGTCTCAATTATAGGCAAGTTTCCATTCAATTCAAGCGAGCACAGGCTCTAAGTGGTGGTTCTTGCAGGCACGTCAGCATAGAGTCGCGAAGAAACTCCGGAGATAGTCAAGTGTCGGTGCAGATAGCGGAGCTGAAAGCCACGAAACGCGTTAAGTCGAGACGAACGCGGAGAAACGATAAAAATCGATACAGGAGATATTCGCGAAATGCCTGTAAGTAGAGAGCCGCAGGTGTGGAGACTTGTTATCAAACAGTTGGGTTTTTTATGCCAGCTGGATCATCTAGAGCGTATGGACGAAGAACCGCCACAGCTGAACTGGATGCGAGTCACATTGAGCAGTTACTGAAAAGTGGAAAGTTACGTAAGTTGATTGACTGCTAAACCAATTTTCAGCCATCAACACGTACTTGCCATTGCAGTTCTCCCGCCAGCGACAGTGCCATGTTCCGAAGACGAGAACTTATCGGTTACCATATCGGAAACTGCAGTCAATATGCGGGTCGCGAACCCGAACCTGGACTTGAACGATCATTTTACCATTAGCCAGTTAAGTCGCGGCTTTCATTTTGACCAAGTTAGTTCGACTGATTCGGAGCCCGAAGTCGAAAAGGCATTTAACCATGTTCGCGACAGGCGGTATTCCAGAAGCGACAGGGACTCACCATCGTCGCGCAAGTCGCGAAAATCCAGACGATCCCGGTAAGGCCCTCTATATTTCCAGGAGGTGTTCACTGTTCAACCGCACGCTTTTTTTCCAGAAGGAACCCCTGCGATCCTTTGAGGAACCATAGAAGCGACAGCGAGAGCTCTAGCTGTCCGGAAATTAAGCAGTTGGTCCAGAGCTCGATGAATTCGAATGGAAGCGCGGGTTTGGAGCGAAATAGAGGGTCACGACAGTCGAAAACGTCGACTGATGTGGCGGTGCAAGCCAATGCTCATGACTTGGATTT